GATTCTGGGACGATAAGCGTACGTGATCATGGGGGATCTGAATAGTTACAAATCCGCTGGACGACATGGTCATGTACTCGGTTCGTTACACCGAGATGCGGTACAGTTTACGCTGCCCTATCGCTCGATTCGCAAACGAACCAAACTGCGTGGTTTCGATGGTAAGTGCTTCGTATTCGGGACGTCGTAGTCTTGGCAGACTCACCAGCTACAAGACCGTGTGCTGAGAAAGAGAAAACAGGAGCGTCTTGAGACCTCGGCTTGTGGTGTCTTGGTGCGCGCCTGTAGCAGCTCAAAGCGACAGCCCGCGCCGGCAGAACGAGACCAGGACATGGGGTGGTGTTCGCTCCCAAAGAATTTGCAATCTTCGCCCGCGACCGAGGCTACCCGACTCGACGATGATCAATCTGCGAAGCTTTTCATCGTGCGCGAGGGCGAAGTCAAGATCCGCTTGGCCAAACGTCTTCACGAGAAAGTCAGCATCTCCTACTACCTGCATCTTCGTGCTCTAGACGACCAGATGCTATGTGTAAGTTAGTTAATTGTGGTACAGTCCCAGTAAAAGCGACTGCGACGCACTTAACGTTGCGTCATGGCGCCCCAGCCATATTTCCGCCCCCTCGAGCTTGACGACCACGCTCACCCTGGCCTAATCCTTCGATCCTGCTCTCTCGACATCTTGTGCTTAGACCCCTTGTGAGCCTGCCCAGTCATCTGGTCGTCAGCTCTCATCGCCGTCGACATGTTCATCAGAAAGCTTACACCATTGAGCGCAACAACGAAGCTTCACATTCTCGGCCAGAGTGTCCTGCGGCATCTATGAAACCCGTTTGGCGATATCGAAAGCGGTGAGCGATCGTGGCGCCTACGCCGGACTTGTATGGCTAGAATAGAACACCTGCATTCGTGACGATGCGGAGCATGTCGCCAAACTGCGGCTTAGACACATACGATATCCAGGTTAGCTGCGAGTGTGGAAAGATGAAGTGAAACCTCACTTTGAGAACATTGCTCTCCCGGCCATCATGTATCCAATTCACCGAAGAGCTATCCATTGCCCCCATTGACCGCCGGTGGAGGGTTCACGGCTAGCCACGATGCGTGCGGGGAGATGATTACGACATCGTACATGCTATCAAATGAGAACCGCGGGGTGATGCCATTGACGTGTGCGGATAGGGTCTCAGGTGACAAAATCGCGTTCAACTGGCGGACGGCAATATCGGCGCTCCCATAAGCATTCGTAAGAATGTTTTCCATAGAGTAGTCAACCTTAAAATTCGCAAGGTCTGGGAGAAGACGCACGGTGAGTCCTACCCGAGCCGAGACTGGTAACAACCTAAGGACGTACCCACAAACATGCCATCCTAACCAAATACTCCAAATAACAGCAGAGAACTAGGGCTCATACGCGGCTGTCGAGTTCCAGGTGAGCGCGGGGTGCGAGGATGTCTGACACGGCGTCGTTTAGAATGAAATGGATGTTGCTTTGCGAGCTGATACGCATGTCGTCCAGAACGAGAGACGACGGACTTGGTAGAGTCTTGCAAAACTCAACGGCCAAAGACGAGTCTTGAAAGGCATATGGTTGCAGTGAGACATACGTCGTGGTGCTGGGGAAGTTGTCAACGAAGGTCGCGAACTTCACGGTGTAAGGCGTAGATACTGGGATTGGTCTTTGTGGGGACAGGTGTGATGAGAGATGCGCGCAACTTGTGCATACTCCGCCGGTAGAGACAAAAGCGGCGGGTATCAACGCAGAATACATCGATCAGGCGCAGGTGAGCGAGCAAGAGCAAGTCAACCTGACTGTCACTCAACCACGAAAAGCGAGGCGGAGCACTCACGTGACTCTCCCATCATTCCATGGACGCCGGCATTGTGGCACAGGGCCTGGCTGGCCAGGATATAATTTTTCTCTTCCGCTTCGTCCGCTTGCGTCAGGCTATTACCGTGTCTTTCTTCCATACGTCCCAACAAGCGTTATAATTTCCGGCTTTACATGTAGCTACCCTATCGTGCCAGGCTTTAATACGCCGGATGTCACGCGTTGAACATTGAATATTTGAACCCTCGCCGTGATTTTACGAACAATATCATCTCATTTTACGGCGGCCCTTATCTTGTCCCTGCGCTACGGTATAGGCACAAAGCAAGGTCATGATTGAGGTGATAAGGTATGAGAAACGGACACAACGTACGAGCAACGCACGTCCAAGTTGTATCTGTGTAGGCGTACAAATGTGAACAAATGTGCACTTACTTGCAATATAATATTAATGAACAACAGTAAGTATAGATGCATGTAGATTCAGTAACATGCAAATAAATTAAGTATGTTACAGTGAAAATAAGTTGCTGATCGCTGCAGAGACGAGATTTGGCATTGCGAAAACAAGATATTTATTTTATCCACCTTCGGCCTTCATATGTAAGGCATACAAAAATCCGACGCAAAGACTGCGGGTATCGGCGACGACTAAGGCAAGGCCTGCAATCATACGCAATATCCAACCGAACATAATCAAAGGGGAGGGGAATAAACGCTATCGAAAGAGATAAATTAAACTAGCAATCCGAGGTGAGGAAATGTCACTTCGTGGCCACGGCCTCGATGCCATTCAACGCTCACGCCCTCGCTTCAACCCACACCGCTTCGAGCATCTCTCTCTGTATGTCGTGTACATTGCCACACTGAGTACACACCTGCCCCCAATATCCCGGTTCCCCTTCCTCTCATCGCCTTTTGACCTTCACATCTCCTCGAATTCGCCCGACCGATACAAGCGGGGCCATCTGCACGGGAATTTCCGTCCGCGGCTCGTCCCTGCTTCAGAGCTTAAGCAGCCATCCAGCCTATCCGCGCCTGACGTTCGTTTTTGTCCTACGCCCTCTCCTCTGCCATCTCATCGTATCCTTCGCCGCCCGTTCCCTCGCCATGCTCGCCATCCTGCTCATCGATCTCCACCGCTTGCGAGGTCTGCTCGACTGCCGTGTTTTGGACGCCTTCTGCGGTGGACGGTGCAGTCTTGGAGGCTGTGTCCGTAGATGATACACTCGCCCGCTCGGTTACGAGCTGTCGTAGATACTTCTCTCGACCGAAGCGACGGTCGTCCGGGACGTCCGAGTCGTCGGAGCGCAGCAACCACTCGGCTTGTTCGGCGATGTCGAGGGTGATCTTGGTGTCGTCGATGGTGTGCTCCGTTAGCACAGACAAGATGTCTGCACTCGTGATGGAACCATGATAGAACTTGCAGAATTGCAGTTTGCCTGACTCGAGAGTCCAGGTCAGCTGCGTACGGCGCAACACAGAACATAGGATCCTCTTCAAGATCTCAAAGGCTTGGTCGTCCTCCGATAGAGGACCGATGTAGAGGTGGCGCATGTGCGGGGAATCAACGACATCCTGCAAAGCGCCCCAAGGGAGGGCATCCACGATTTCGATATCCGCGAATAAAAATTGGAGAGTGATAGCCTCGACATGCGCAAGCGGGGACACCGCATCTTGGCCGGCGCTCGGTCGGCAAACTATGTGAGCACCCACAACATCACCTTTAGACTCGCCTTGATCGGGTGAGCAGTAATAGATAGACGCCAAGTCTGACAAGGAACAACTAGTGAGCGTTGCACTGCTTGCACCAGTTAGAAGACGAACCAAACATGCTGCCGTTCTCATTATTACTAAGCCGCACAGCTGCCCGTTCGGACGTGTTTGGTACGAATGCAGACAGCACTTGAAGAGTCGCATCCCTTGTGCGGTCGTCAAGGCCCATGCGACGACCAGCCCCAAGGATGTCAGCAGCCAGCACCGCTTGAACGGAGACCGCCATATCCTTACACCGCGAGATGTCGCACGTCCAGAGGGTCGATGAAGGACGTCGGCGGGCTCTGCGTGACTGGACAACCGGCGACGAGTCAAGGAAGGTGAGCTGGTTGCAGGCGCAGTGCTCGAGCGTGGAGAAATTGTCGAGGAGCCGTGCGAGCTCGGTCGTGCTCGTGAATACAACATCGTTGAGGAAAAGCCGTCTGAGTCGGACATAGGATCGAGTGACACTCGGTATCGATTGAAATGGCGCCCAACGGCTGGGCACAGATGCAGGATCGCCCGCGGGACGCACGACGGTACAGTCGAATGCCGTCTCCTGGAGTCGGGTTGAAAGTCCATGGACGTGGTGGAGCCAAGATTTCGCCTCCGTAGCTTCTTGATGGATCTTTATATGCCAGATGGCCCCAGACAGAGACGAAGTCGTGAAACGGGGGCTGCAAACGATGTTCTTCAGGAGTCGTACATCATTAGCACTGCGCAATTCGATTTGTCGAAAAAGTAGAGGTCTGATGGCTTCAGACCAGTGCTTGCATACGAGGCTGAGCGCAACGAGCTCGTGTTTCAAGCGACGACGTTCTTCTGAGTCATAAGCTAAAATATCAAGTAGCGTAATACAATCGAGAATGCACGATAGTATTTCAGGGGGAAAATCAGCTCCTGTTGCACCCGACATTTTTCACGGAGAGGGGTCTGCGGGGTGCGAGAGGGCGATGTATGTGGGTGGTTAATGCACGACGCACCTACAGCGCTATATCACGGTCGGCAGCGCACAGCCAGAAATATTTGCCTCGTGGGTGCAACGTTCACGAGGAAGCAGCAGGCGTCAATGGTTCAGTACTTGGCAGCTGGCAGCTCACGTCAACTTCTGACACCGCGTGTGAACGTGCAAACATGCGCACACTCCACCACATGTAGAAATTTAGAGCTTCTAGCACCCTGGGAACGTGCCTACTGTAATGAATAGTCGAGCAGCAGAACTGCCGAAGCTTGCGACCCGCATATCCCTGCATCGCCTCCCCTTGCCTACAGAGATCGATAGTCATCGCCTGGAGATGCGTGATGAGCAGCGCCCCAATTTCTCTGACCCACCGCAGTCAGTCGCACGTCAATCCGCGGCCTAAAATGGCAAAGTAGGCATCATGGCAGCGAGTTTACACATTTGTCCTTACGATCAAGCTTGAATCAGATCCAGAACTCGAACAGGAGACTTAGTGCGGCCCTCATCTGGCTCCTTCGTTCTGACTTTTCATGATAGTCTGCGGTTAGTCGGATATATGAGCCCAAAGCAGAGGAATCTGCATTCTGCGGCCGCCCAATGTCGGCCACCTTCTCGAGCGCGGTTGGCGATGCAACGGAGTTTGGTGGCCGCAACTACCGTCCAGGCTTTTTCTGTGTAACCGACGAGTGGGCTTGCGTTCTTATTGTGCCGCAGAACGAAGATGTCTGTAGTTCGATGTCGGACAGCGAAGGCAAACGAGATAACGGCCTGGCGCACCACGTGCGAGCCAAGTCGTCTCAGATCGTGTGCCCAGCTGTCCAATGCGTTTCATAAAGATCTCCAGTGCAGATAGAAGCAATAAATGAGGGCTTCCTCGGACTTTCTGCGCGCCTCTTCGATTTATCTAGCCACCTCATGTTTGTTGCACTCGCTCCGCGTCTAATCGTCTACGGTTTGCAAAATCGACTCAGACGCAACCAAGTTTTTAGCTCGCTCCGCCGAGCACGCAGCGGCTCGGCCAGACCGTAGGCTCGCACACTGCCTTGGAAGATTTGGTGTCGGTATCAAGAGCGAGAGGACTCGCAAAGAGCGTCGGCCGCGACCTGTGGACATCCAGACCCAAGTAAGTCTCGTTGAGATTGCAATCCCCCCTACGCCGACCGTCGTCTTTCGGGCCCGCCACTCGTGATGAATGTACGGTACAGGAAGGGCGGAAATGAGCCCACTCCGTCACCAACAACAGCGGGCTTGGCATTCAGGCCACTGCGCCTAAGGGGACTGCTTCGAGAGTGTTAGAGTGGAGTTGCACAGAAGGTAGGTCAACTATGCACCGTTGTGGTTGTACAACTCAGCTCACACCCAACCGACCGCCTAGTCCGGGTGGTACGAGTCCAGTTCCGCAACCATCTTGCGATGTGCCTGCTTTGCCAATATCTTCTCGGGCGGCGGCACTAGCAGCAACGCACCGTGTCACCGGCGCCAAAGTTTGCCTCGTTCGGGGATGACGCCTGAGATGATGGAAGGAACGGAGAAGCGGTTATCACAAACGAAAGTGAAGCGGGCCGGTAACACCTGTAGCTGAGACAGTGCACGTGCAGCTGGCAGCAACGGTAAAACTGAACACCTGTGATGCAAGTCAGTTCGATTCGATAACATTCGAGATAGCAACGTACGCACAGGAATCTGTGCCAACATCCTCACCAGTGGCGCATCACCGGAGATCTGCAAACGCATGCCAGGTATTGCGCCGACGGCACGCAGACATACGCAGAGTCAATGCCGCAAACCCGAAGGCTCTGCTCTCGACGGCGAAGGGTAGCGGTATTCTGCCCGCTGGGCTTGAACATGTATATTGCTTGTGTCCTTGAACATCAGCAGCCAGGCGCAGCGGAGATGAATCCTGGAGAGCA